TTCTCCCACGGTGCTTTCCCTGTGGTATGGTCGTAGACGAGGAAATGGGGTCGAAATTGTGCTTGTTATTGGCCAGGTTCAGGCTGTAAAGTGGCCACATTCTTGAGTGTAGGCGAATTTGAAATTCTAAAGCCCTAGTTTCGTTACTCTAACCCTAAGAAATTGATACTCTAACCCTAAGAAATTGTTACCCTAACCCTAAGAAATGGTTACCCTAACCCCGAAGTCGTTACCTAACCCTAATGTATTTTCCTCAACCCAGTTAACACATTGAGGAGCATCGATTTGAAGCACTATTCCCTAGGGAGGGGAGGGAGGGGTCCCTAGAGACATAACGTGTCCTAAAAACCTATCGTACAATGTTTTAGGTCCATAGGTGTGTGTATCTGGCTTTAAAATCTTAAAGTGAGGAGATACCAAACGGGTCAGCCTCTGGGACCGTCTGCGGGACTCGCAAGGGCTTGCGGGGGCAACCTGCTACTATCCACCATAAACCGTGGGAAGGATCCCTCAACCATCCCCCTCACCCAGGGCATGCTTCAGCATCGCTTCTCGGCCTTTTGGCTAGATCAGCCAACAAGTAAGTGCTTTTTATTTTGCTAAGTGCTATTTTTCTCGACTTTTTTTTCGGTTCGTGAGCGATATAGTTTTCCTTAGAGATATGGATGTATGTGATAATGAGATGCCTGTGACTGCTGTTAATGAATTGCCCGAAACGAGTGCAGATGATATGGAGAATGTTCAACACTGCCATGTTGTGAACGGAGAATTGTACGCGTCACGGGCGGCGAGGACTGTTTCTTACGAGTACCCGCCACGACAACAGAGAGCTCTGTATTCTGAAAATGTTATGCCACAGCGGCCAAGAACTGCTTTTTTTACACCAAGCAAGAACACAACGGCCGAGTCAGTCTTTGAAGCTCTTGAGAAAGCCGAAATCAACGCGACGGAGATCGCATGTCTGCAACGGAAAATGAACGGAGAGGTCACCGTTACCATTAAATCCATCTCAGCAAAGGAGAAATTCCTCCCCCTTAACTTGCTGCAAGTAGACGCCAAGCATTTTTCTCTTCAAGATGTGGACAAACCATTGTCCTTTCTCACCATTTACGACGCTCCCTTTGAGCTTTCTGACTTTGCCATCATTAAACGCCTCTCGCCCTACTGTGAAGTCCTACATTACCGTCGGGGTAAACATTCCTTGGCTCCAAATATTTACAACAGCCTTCGTCACTATCGGGTCAGGATCTCGAAACCAATCCCCAGCTTCCTCTGTTTTGGTAAATTTCAAATCTTTCTTAAACATAATTCTCAAGTCCCAACATGTCGTAAATGTAATTGTCCCGGTCATTTTAGTAACGTGTGCCCTAATCGTGTGTGCTTTAATTGTGAGGGTCTCGGCCATGAGGCCCGTAATTGTCAGTGTCCTGTGTTGTGCTGTATCTGTAAGAAGGAAGGTCATATGGGGATCAACTGTACATATTCCTGGTTCTGATCAACGGTATCTCCAACCGACGAGCAGGACGATGTCGTGGTGGAATCTGACGATGATGGTTTGTTTTTGGTATCCAGCCTCTAGTAGACAGGGTTGTGTGGTTACTTTGATTTCGTCGAAATGTTCAGATGAAATTGTCTCTTGGAAAAAAGACTCACAGTCGTATTGTCAGTATTTTGATCAGGAGCAACGGTGTAGATGTTAATTTAGTTAATATTTACGCTCCCACTAATCTTGTAGAGCGAAAGATTTTTTCTGATTCTCTCCACGAATTTTTTATTCCTTCCGCTGCAATCATCATCGGAGAGGACTTTAATTGCTACGATAATGTTCTTGATAAATTTGGTGGAAACATTTCTATTCACAAAGAATATGAGTCGTTGAAAAATGATTTTGCCCTTGTTGATGTTTGGCGCAATTTGCATCCCGGCTCAAGGGAGTTTACATGGTTCAATTCGTCCTTCTCTAGCGGGAGTAGATTAGACAAGTTTTTAGTTTCAAGGGAGTTGTTGTCACCCGGCGTGGAATGCAACATCTCACCTTGTCCAATTTCCGATCACGATTTTGTTTCTCTTGTTTTCGACATCCCCACTGGGGTCAAACGTGGCCCGGGTGTGTGGAATTTTAATAATTCCCTTCTGAAAGATAAGGACTTTTGTACAACTATAGAAAAATTGATTGATTGTCATCTGCGTTTTTTTACCCTCTTTCGCGAGTCTTCAGGATTGGTGGGAGTTTTTGAAACTGTCCATCAAAGAGGAATCAATCGCCTTTTCGCATAATAAACGGAGGCGTTTGCATAAACAGCAAGTATCTTTAACGAATAAGTTAATTCGTCTCCGTCAACGTTTAGTTGATGGAGACGACACTGTCTCCATTTTGATTTCTGACACAGAAAGCCAGTTGAAAGCCCTTCGGGTTAAAGAAATCGAGGGGATCATGATCCGGAGCCGCGCGCAATGGCTGGAAGGCAAGCGGCCCAGCTGTTACTTTTTTAACTTGCAA